AAGAATCCAAGTGCAACCGATTAGAACTAATAATAATCAGATGCATACAGATTAGAGATGCATGCGCCAACATCTCAGTGTTAGTAGCAAAAACAATGAGTCTTTCTGCAAGGAACAATATATTCTAAAATGAAATGGAGATCTTTTTTAAAGTTTAAAGCCTCATTCAATTTTATGTCTTATAAGGTTTATACCGAGTACAATAATGTATAACTGTATTAGTTCAAATGTGAACCTAAAAATTTAGAGCCAATATTGAAAGTCTTTGCTCTGGAAATTGTTATTGAATATGTTAATGCTGTAATGAAATGCTTCTAATCATGTGGTTATTAAATAATTAAAAAAAAAGTTTTCTCTTTCTAGATCTACATTAATAAAACATTATATATTGCTGTATGTATGTTATATATTATGCAGTATAATAAATATAGTAAATTGGTACAATTCTAGAAAACAGGCAGCTAATATTAAGGCTAAATACATGCATATCGTATTTCCTAGCACCTTCATTCCTAGGCATATGCTTAATAGTCTCTTTCTAGATCTACATTAATAAAACATTATATATTGCTGTATGTATGTTATATATTATGCAGTATAATAAATATAGTAAATTGGTACAATTCTAGAAAACAGGCAGCTAATATTAAGGCTAAATACATGCATATCGTATTTCCTAGCACCTTCATTCCTAGGCATATGCTTAATAGAAATATGTATATAATTACATCAGAAGATATCTAAAAGAGTGAACATATGTAAGTATTCATAGCATAAGAAACCTGGAAACATCCATGAATATATTATATTTTGTGAAATATATATGTTATATGTTAATATATGAATACATACACAGTGCGGCATATTACTATTATATATTAATATCATGATAATGTAACACGTCACTTGCTTTGTTTTGCTCTTTCATTTCATATTTTATGAACCTCTCTTCATGTCAGTGCATACAGACATCTTTCAAAAAAGAAGGACTGGAGGGGGGTTGGTGAGATGACTCAGGTGCCTATCACCAAGCAGTGACCTGAGTTTGATTTCACCTGACCCACAAGGTCGGTGGCAAGAGCTGATTCCCAGAAGTTGTCCTCTGATCTCCACATGACCACAGACATAGATTCACACATACATACATACATAAATAACTAAATAATTTTAATGATACTGGAGAAAAGCCTTAGGTGTGTTTTCTCCACAACAGAGAGGCTGTGGACAACTGTAAAACAATAAGATCAATTGAGAAAAATAAGACTACAAGACATTCTTCCCACTTCTGTTTTACTTGGCTCTAGTGTGCAAGGGACCTTTGACTGGGAAAGGAGTACTACTAGCCCCATGCCCTCGGTAGATAAGATGTATCAAGTGTGGAAAAGGAAAGGGGTCTGCGCTGGGCCCCTGTGACCGGCAGGTAGGAAACAGTCCCTGGGAGGCCTTCTCTGGTCTTTGCCTTCTGCAAGCTTGGTGGTTTGTTGGTCATTTTGTCTGCTGTCGTTTCCTTACCAAATTCATAGCATCCTTTCTGTGGTCCTCTTCGGCTCTGAAACCTTTACTCTCCATCTCCTGCGTTTCCAGTTTGTTCTCTCAGGTTCTAGCTTTCTTTGGCCTTGTGGAATACTTTGGGAAATAAGCAGACTGCAACCTCATTTAGAGTCAGTGTCTCAATAGATCAGCTGACTCTGACAGGCCGGCTCCCCTAAGGCGGTGTCAGCCAAATTCCTCTACATCAAGGGAAGGTGGCTACTGCTCCTGACCTTGAAGCAGAAGCCAGGGTGTGACCCACCCCCTGGGCAGTCAGTCCCGCCCCAGCACAGCATCCCTACAGGTTGCACAGGAGGAGTGAATTTAGAATTCCAAAGATTGAATTTTGACCTAGCTGACTCTTCATTTCCATTTTCAAACGGACTGTTTACAATAGAAATCCGTTCACGCCCAGCAGGGGTGTTCCATAATCTAAGCACAACCCACTGTGGGTGACCTCCGAGGCTCCCAGAGCTGGTAATGCGAGATTCTAGTTTCTTCTCCATCCCGAAGCTGCCCTAGATGTGACCTCCCGGGTCCTCATTCCACTCCCTGCGCCTTCGAGTGCGTTCTGAACTTCAGAGCTCAGCAGGTTCCAGTCTTTCACTTCCATCCAGCACCCTCATCAAAACAACCCGGGGTGGCGCTTTCTCAGGGAGCCTCGGAGCCTGGAAACCTTGTCCCCAGGGCCGGGCGGTGGCTGGCGGCTGGCTGCAGGGAGTCAGGGCAGCTTGGCTATGTGCTGCAGGAAACCCCCCGGCGGTCTGGGGAGCCCTGGTCCACTCACCCGAGCGCCTGCATCCGGGGAGTCCTGGAACTCCTCCCTCGACCCACGCACTTGAACTCGGAGCCAGAACTCCGGCCGCCGTCCTGCCCCCGGGCTGCTCCAGCCCTGAGCCCTGAGCGAAGAGGGCCCTCGGAGAGATGATCTGGCTGTGGCTGGTCCAGAGGCTGCTGTTTTTGGGCGCGGCGAGCGCCGTGTCCCTGGCCGGCGCCACCCTCCTCCTCAACATTCTGCAGATGGTGGCGAGCTACGCGCGGAAATGGCAGCAGATGCGGCCTATCCCATCCGTGGCCCGCGCCTACCCCTTGGTGGGACACGCGCTGTCCTTGAAGCCTAACAGCACCGGTAAGGGATTGTGTGAGCAGGCCAAAAAGCTGCTGGGTTCCCTGTCCAGCTGGGAAGCCTTATTTAACAGAGGACACCCCCCCAGCCCCCCACCCCACCCCCCTGTTTTGCAACACTTGGAGGGCCAACGTCTCTCAGACCCAATTATATTGTCCTGGAACCCCCAAACTTGAAGCACTGACTGCTAAGAGAAATAAGAATCTGTCCCCATCTAGAGATTAGATTCCCAATGCTGTGTAATTTCCACCCTGGCACTTCCCAAATGCTTTCAAACTTAGTGCCACTTTCCTTTGTCTTCCAGTTAGGAAAACAGCAGACCAGAGATGTATTTTGAGACTCCCACCACCTTAGGCAGACCTTTGTATGGCTTGACCATTTTTCACTTTCATTCAGTCTTGATCTTCTCACTGTGTAGCACTTCTGAGGAAGTATCACAAGTAAGCTTTGCTGTCCAGGCCTTGAGGCAAATGTATACATGGCAAATTTCAAAAGCTTTATTTTTAGGTACTGACTTTTAAAAATTGAAATCATCTTTTTAAAAGATATCTTATGCAAAACTTATGCTTTGTTGGTAGGGAACATCACTTTAAGTTAGAAAGCTGTCTAACTTAGCTGCTTTCTGCTTAGGGGTGGTTAATTAGATGTTAGCATTTCATTTCTGTGGTTTCAGCTTTAGGTTAGGACTTAAACCAGGCCCTGACTTTCCCACCACCTCTTCCTCAATTTGCTATTCATGCATTTTATTTTTGTATCACTTCTGGAGGTGTAATTACATGAAGATTCTCAGGAAGTTCTCGTTTTTCTTATGCAATTATTTTGCACATTTGGCTCAGCACAAGTGCATTATCACAAGGTTGGATTTTTGTGAAAGTATTGTACATGTGGATAAGAACATCCTCAAGGAATGAGGAGATCTGTATCCATGAAAGAGCTAGAAACCTCAGCCCATTCAGCATCTACAAATCACTATTGTATTTTTTGAGCTATCTCATCTTCAGACTTGGGCTGTCTGTTGTGGTGCTGCAGACACTAGCAGTCATGAACTTAGGTGCCTACAATTACAATGATGGCAATGTGTGCTTATATTTTGGTTTTTGAATCATTTTTATGAACATGGTTCTTCTGCTCACACGTGTCATTAATATGCCTGTGTGTTTAGGATTGCAAAAGTATCTGTGCTTATTCTATTGCACGAAGTGGTCTCTGAGGTGTTCTCATGTTTTAGTAAGGGTTTTCAAGTAAATTTCCTTCTAAAAGGATTTTATTTTACTTTATTATTATTATTGTATGTGTATGAGTGTATTGTCTTCATGTGTGTAAGTGCACCCGTGTCGTGCAAGTGCAATGCCTGCAGAGGTCGGAAGAGGGTGTTAGATTCCCCTGGAACTGGAATTATGGACAGTTATTAGCTGCCATGTGGGCACAGGGAATCAAACCCTGGTCCTTTGCAAGATCAGTCAGTGCTCTTAACTGCTGAGTCATCTCTCCAGCTCCTTTTAATAGGATTTAAAAAAATTTTTTTTTCTATAATTATATTTTCAAGATTTTAGCCTTTCATGATGATAGATTTTAGACATCTTTCGTTTTCTTAATTTCACCACTTGTAATTATAAATGATGGAGTTTGGATTGCATTTTGGAGATGATAATTCAAGAATCCCCTCCCCAACTTTACTCTTAGAATGTCTCATCATATTTTGGGGAAATTCCAAGGATCAAAATCTTTAGTGACTACTTGGAGCTGGTTAGACTCCTTAGAGTAGTTCTCCGTGGAGTGACTTTCTGAGTGAGGAGAATGAGAGTATACTGCCACTGACAAAGGCACATTTTATTCCATGATTTGAGGAATGAGAAAACTGTTGCTTAATTTCCAGTTGTGAAACTGACTTATTTGCTAAATTATTAAAAGCTCTCTAAGTTGAGAGTTTTTGTTGTTGTCCTTGTTTCATTTGAAGAAGTAAGTGTATTTCAGAATTATTTTAAGCTTTAAATTTTAATGATGACCAAGTTTCTTGATCACCATCTAGAATGTTCTTGTTTACCATAAGTCTTTTCATTGTCAGTCAAGCATTTACTGCTTTGTATCCAGCACTGAGCTTCCCAACTTTGGGGCTATCAGAATATGCTAAGATACAGTCTCTGCTCTGAGTTGCACTGGCCCTTCATTCTGTGGCCAATGTCCAAATTTATGTCTTGATCTCACTGTGAGTGTTGCATGTGGCCTATACTCTGATCTCATGCCTTTGCAGCCCCGTGGGGCCCAATTTTTGGATCACAGATTCAGATGTCCCATCTGTCTGTCACACAAGACCAAGGCAGACAGATGCTAATGTGAAGCAGAACGTTTTGTCACTGGTGACTTGGTACAGCCCGCCGTTTTTTTAAGCCGTTTTTTTATTTAACTCACAGGTGGTGGTAAGCCACCCAGTGTGAGTGCTGGGAACTGAACTTCACTGGTGAGTCATCTCTTCAGCCCCTATTTTTAAAAGTTTAAAAATTAAAGGACCAAAAATTATGTTACTGCATATAGTGTGTATGTGTGTGTATGTGTGTATGTGTGTGTGTTTATGTGTGCTGATGTCTAAGCACGCTCTTGCCCTGGCACATATGTGGAGGTCAAAGGACAAGTTTCAAGAGTCAGTTCTCTCTTTCTGCCACGTAGCTCTCAGGGATCAAACTCTATTGGCAATAGAAACCTTTACTGGCTGAGCCATTGTGCCAGCCCTTTCCCTGCAATTTTGACAATGCATTTTATCCAAGAGACATTGGGAGTCTCTTGTCCCAGTGTGGTATGGTAGTTAAGATGTTATGTTCTGGAAACTTGGTATGAAGCCAGACTCTACCATTTCTTAGCTCTATGGCATTGATCACTGATTTACTAAAACTGTACATCTTGGCACATCAGATCCTAATTTAATTATATCCTCTTGTAATTGTCCTTTTATAGCTTACATCATTGTTATATTTATTTGAAATAGCAAATACGATTTTTAAATAATTTTACAGGATGTTGCAAAACTCATGAAGCTCCCAAGTCCTCTTTGCCAGTTCCTTTAATGGTAATATATCATTATCATGTACTTTGTGTATTTGCTGAAAGGAGATAAAGAATACAGCACAGGACAGTGAACAAATTCCTATGTCAACTAAATGTTAAATGAAATCTTTTTCTCCCAGAGTTTTTTCAGCAGTTAATTCAGTACACAGAAGAATACCGGTATCTGCCACTGATTAAACTTTGGATTGGACCAGTGCCGATGGTAACTCTTTATAAGGCAGAAACTGTGGAGGTGGGTGTGTGGTAAATGTGTTAGAAACTTCACTGTATTCTATAGCATGAGAATTTCATCAAAGTGCATGTAATGATTATGTCCTTGAATTTTATTTAAGTCTGTCCAAAGAGCATTTCATTCATATTTTAGGGCATGTAGATTCCATTTGATGATTTCTGGATGTAGTTGGAATCCTGGAGAGGATAACTCCATATAACTGTGTATATTATTTATTAGGTCTTGATATATTTTCTCTCCTTTTGTTACTCTCGTTTGTGTGTGTGTGTGTGTGTGTATGTGTGTGTGTGTGTGTGTGTGTGCTCGTGTGTGTGTGTTCTATACCGGGGCATAAGCAGGGTTTACTGAGTTATAGACAAGTGCTTCTCCATTCCGCAACACCCATAGCTCCTTTTTTTAAAGATTTATTTTTATTTTTATTTATGTGTGTGTGTGTGTGTGTGTGTTCATGTGTGTGTGTTCTATACCGGGGACTAAGCAGGGTTTACTGCATGTTAGACAAGTGCTTCTCCATTACCCAATAGCCGTAGCTCCTTTTTCATTTTCTGATTTTGAGACACTGACTTGCCTAAGTTGGCCTTGAACTCATTCTATAGTCCCAGGCTGACTTTGAACTTATTTTTGATTCTCCTGCCTCAGCCTCCTTCCTGGTAGCTGATGTAGCAACAGTATGCCACCAAGCTTGGCTCACCAGACACAGATTTAAGAGCCCAAACTATATGACTAATAAAATAGGGGTGTTTCCATCAAGGTGTACAGTTGTATATAGGTAATAAATTTAATATTGTCCATTTAAAAGAGAATTAATTTCCATACTATCGAAATCAGTCCTCCTAACACTTCTATTCCAAGTATTTATTATGTATTAGGTCACTGGAGAAACTGTTGTGATATAAAGATAAAAGGATTTGGGTTAGAGAATAAAAATGAGATAAACAGCTTTTTAAATTTAAATATTTTACGCATTATTTTTATTTTATGTCTATGAGTGTATTGCCTGCATATATGTAAACCCGTGTCCTGCAGTGCCTACAGAGGTCAGAAGAGGGCAATCGGATTCTCTAGAACTGGAGTTATGGATGGTTGTTAGACACCTTATGGGTGCTGGGAACCGAACACTAAAACGGCCAGTGCTCTTAACCACTGGGCCATCTTTCCAGCCCAAACAGAGCTTTTCTTTGTGTAACAAAATTAAATACAGAATTTCTCAGTTCACGGACATGTCTTTCATGTTACTGTGGTGGAAATGATGAAATTTCTCTTGGTCCTTACTCCAGACCCTGAGTCAGAGAAGATAGTCAGGGTACCAGGCATGGGATTTCTATCACTGTAGATCTAATAGAATTAGGTTTGGTATTTGTAGGCAGAGATCTTCCCAGAGTGGAAGACTGGAGCGAGAAGCTTGGAAAGTAATCTGTGCTCAGTCCTTGAGGCTCATCCCTTCTCTCCACTTCACTCTAGGCAATCTGATCACACTCAGGCCTCCTAGGGGTGGTTATATACACAGACATGCATATCTCCAGCTGAAGCCTAAACTCTGAGCTTTCAGAACATAGCAACCTGAATGTGTCAAAGCCACCATCCCTGCAAAGAGCTCATGATTTCCATCTCTCCAGATATGTCGTGCTCCAGATCTGCCTCCCACCTTCTTCTCTCCCCCCATCCTCACTAAATATCTCCACTTGGTTCTTAATTTAGTGCAAGAACCAGGGAACTATGTCTTCCTTTTCTTCAGCTCCATTTACCCCCAAACTCAAATGACAACTATATGTTCAAAATTCTGATAAGATTTCTTTGAGGCACAGTAATGAAATGAGCCAAAGAGAAAACTGTTGTGAGATGCTGATCTGAGAAGGAGACAAGTCCTGGTTAGGAAACCTATAAATGCAGTTGTTCTAATATCTGACTCTCTCATATTTTATTTCTCTTCTTAGAAAATTTTGACAAGTTCAAAGCAAATTGATAAATCAAGTATGTACAAGTTCCTAGAGCCATGGCTCGGCTTGGGGCTGCTTACAAGGTAGGTCAGTGTCTATTTGCAAAGCCGTCTGGTAGAAATACTGCATTATTTGCTTAGATTATCTCAGAAACTAACACAAGGCAGTTTTCAGGATGGAGGAGAGTTTGGATACAAAGGCCTGGCTAACAGTGGGATTTGACACATAGAATCCAGGTGTATAGCTAGCTCCAGCCATGGCATTCAATAGACATACTCTAGCCAGTTGCTCCAATTATTAGAGTTAGGACTTAATAAGCTTAATAAGCTATCTAAGTTCAGTAAAGCAAAAGAGAAAAGGCAGGTAGCTTCAGATAAGTCCATTAAGCACAGTGACCTCAACCTTGATGGTTGACCTCTGAGAGGACTCAGCCAGGAAAAGGCAAGACCTTTGTAAGGTCCTTTGCAGGATTCAAACAACAGAAATTAAGGTCAAGTCATGTGGGCATCTAAAGAACAAGGCTTTGATGAGGGGAGAAAAAACTAATTTCCAGAAACTTAGAAATGGACTAAAAATTCTCAACTTTTTCTATTTTATGAAACCTGTTTTAACTATTAATGTCCAAAAGATCTACATTGTGGAAGTATGTATAAATAGCATATGTGTCACAGAGCTGAAGAAATGGCTCAGCAGCTAAGAGAACTGACTGATTTTGCAGAGGACCCAATTCAATTCCCAGCACTTACATAGTGGCTAACAGACATCTGTAACTAACTCCAGTTCCAGGGCATTCAATGCCCTCTTCTGACCTCCATGGGCATTGCATGACATGCAGGCAATATACTCATACACATAAAATAAAAATAAATAAAATATTTTAAAATTAAAAAATATTAGCCAGGTGTGGTGGCACACACCTTTAATCCCAGCACTTGGGAGGCAGAGGCAGGCAGATCTTTGTGAGTTCGAGGCCAGCCTGGTCTACATAGTGAGTTCCAGGACAGCTGGGGCTACAAGAAGACCCTGTCTCAAAAAAGACAAAAAAAAAAAAGTAAATAAATATTACATAGAAACCTATTTTTCTTTCTAATCAAGTCACATGTAAGATGAAGCTGCTTGGAATTTTGTTGACTTAACTTAAAATGATGTGTTGTTCTTGTAGTACTGGAAGCAAGTGGCGCTCCAGGAGAAAAATGTTAACACCAACTTTCCATTTTACAATTCTGGATGATTTCTTAGATGTCATGAATGAACAAGCAAATATATTGGTTAAGAAGCTTGAAAGCCACGTTAATCAAGATGCATTTAACTGCTTTTTTTACGTCACTCTTTGTGCCTTAGATATAATCTGTGGTAAGTCTGATTGCTTTATATCTAAAGTTATGCTGTAGAAATAAAATAGCTTAAAAAGAAAATAAAATTCCATTGGGAAGACAAAGTAGGGGTTTGGAAGGGACATGGATTATTCAGGGTGAGGCTACTGATAAATTAGCTCCCCAGGAAGCAGTAACCAGTCCTAGGGGGATGAACAGAGTAGTCTGTAGCCTTGCCTGCAAGGTCAAAAGGCAGAAGGACAGGGACAGGAAGTAGTAGGAGGAGAAGCTACTAGAAGAAAAAGCAAAGTAAGCTAGAACAGCATTTGTCAGTTTTTCAGTGCCCCCCACTATGCAGTAAACACAAGATAACTGCATGAATTCAACGGTGTTCTCTCACTTATATTTTATAGAAACAGCCATGGGGAAGAACATTGGTGCTCAAAGCAACAATGATTCTGAGTATGTCCGCACAGTATATAGGTAAGTGAAAGTCTTTTAATTATTTTAAAAATTATTATTGATTTAGGCTTTAAAAATTCTTGCCAATCACTTCCATCTGTGTGATATAAACAGTGTTATTTAACGAAACATTAAACCCAAAATTAACTTCATAGGGCTAGAGAGATGGCTCAGCAGTTAAGAGCATTGGCTGTCCTTGCAGAGGACATGGGTTTGATTCCCAGCACCTTCGTGGTGGCTAACAACCATCCATAACTCCAATTCCAGAGGAATACAACATTCTCTTCTGACTTCCGTGTCCATTGTATGACACAGGTGAACTTACACACATGCAGCCAATATACTCGTACACATAAGGGGCTGGAGAGATGGCTCAGTGATTAAATCATTGGCTGCTCTTGCAGGGGACTCAGGTTCAGTTCTCAGCACACACATGGCAGCTAACAGCTGTCTGTAAGTTCAGTTCCAGTTCCAGGGGAATCCTATGTCCTCTTCTGACCTCTTCAGGTATTGAATGACATGGGTGCACTTATATACATGCAAGCAGTGCAACATAAAATAAAACTAATAAAATATTTTTTAAAAGTTAACCTCATAACATAGGCATCCATTTTTGCAGTAGAGGGATGGTTATATAAATTATGGCACATCTACAGATGCTGCAGAAAATGCTTTTGAGACAAGAGTCTCGCTATGTAGTTCTGCCTGTCCTGAAACTCACTATGTAGATGAGGCTAGTCTTGATCTCACAGAGATCCACCTGCCTCTGCTTCTCCAGTGCTGGGATTAAAGATGTGCACCACCACACCCAGCCTCCATGCTACAGAAATTTAAATTTATTTTCTAATATGCTGAGATTGCATCATGATACTGAATGACAAAAGAAAGATATAAACAATTTTTATTATATGACATATGGAGAAAACCCCCGAGAACTGTATCAGACTGTTAGCAACTATTATTGTTGTATACCCATCTTTTTCTTTTCTATTGAAATTTTTGTTATTGCTTATTTTTCTTTCCCATATTTTATGCATTGACTGGGTGTTGTTTTTGTTATTGAAGCAAATTTTTCTTTATTTAGCTATTAAAATGCATAGCTAGGATGTGTTTAGAAATATTCTTTCTTAATGTCTACTTCTCATTTAGTTTCATTTTAATAAATATTTATTCAACATAATGCCCACTTCTCATTTAGTTTCATTTTAATAAATATTTATTCAACATCTGTGGTCTGCCAGACATCCCACAAGGTACCAAGTAGTTTTTAAATTGGTACACACAAGAGAATAGCATGAGACAGAGGCATCAAGACAAGAAATGCAAACATAGGCATTATAATACTTGCTAAGGAAAAAAAGATCAAATTGATAGCAGATTCAAAACAGGAATGTGCTCTACAGACACAGTGGTCATGAAAAGCCTCTTTAAATAACTGACATCTAAACTGTCTTAAAGGAGGCTGAGAAGAGTTCTATTTTCTGCCCTGTCACTGTAAATGAGGGAAGTGCTGAGAACAGACATGTGACAGATTGCCATTTAATTTGCGCTTTTTTATAGAAGGATTTTTTTTTTTTTTGGTCTTTTGAGACAAGGTCTCCCTGTAGCCCCAGCTGTTCTGGAACTCACTATTTAAACCAGGCTGGTTTTGAACTCACAGAGATCTGCCTGCCTCTGTCTCTGGAGTGCTGGGATTAAAGGCGGGTGCCACCACGCCTGGCTTAATTGTTTCTTTTTTTATTTTTTATTTTTTATTTTTTTTATTTTTAGGATTTTAGTGAGCGATCCAGGTAATTTCTGTAATCCACAACAAAACTATTATGGACTAATTGTTTCTTTTTTAAAGATTACATTTATTTATTTATTCTGTTTATGTCATGACGTGTTTGTGGAGGTCAGAGGACAGTTTGCAGGAGCCAGTTCTTGCCTTCCATTATGTGAGTCTCAAGGATCAAGCTCAGCTCTTTAGGCTTGGTGGCCATTTTGTTGGCTCCTGAGTTGCTTCTTTAAGTCTTCAGAGGGGTGATGGAATAAGTAGGCAGAACTTAAAGAGAGGCATATTTTATCTTAATCTTTGTTACAAATGTCCTAGGTATTCTTGGAAAGTTATGAACTCACCCTGTAGAAACATATGGATTAACCAGAGGTCCTCTATATATGGTGGACTTTTCATTCCTCTAATGAATCCATTATTTGTTTAAGCTTTGAGTGGGATGTGTAATAGTTTGTTCCTTTACTGTTTTGCAATAAGTGTGGAGCTCTATTAGCCATGAAGACTAATTATTATCATTTCCGTGTATTACCTTCATCAAAACCAAACATCAAGTAGTTGATCAATAAATAAACATTTCTGATATAAAAGAGATGCTATCCTGTTTATAGAATGAGTGACATGATACATCGAAGAATGAAGATGCCCTGGTTTTGGCTTGATCTTTGGTACCTTATGTTTAAAGAAGGACGGGAACACAAACGGGGACTTAAGCGCCTACATACTTTTACCAACAGCGTAAGTACTTTTTTGTGGTCATGTATATAAAACATGAAATTCAGTGGCATTAAATGCATTCACAGTGTTGTGTAGTAATTCTTACTTTCCAGTTCTAGAACATTTTCAAGTTAATAATTTTTAAGTTCTTTTTTAAATATACCCTAATGTAGTATCACGGAGCATGTATCCAATAAAAGTAAATTGAATCATAATGCAAAAATGCTCAATACTATGTTTAAATTATATATTCACCTACCATCAATGAAGTGTTTGTTAAGCACCAAACACTGTGCCCAGTGTTGGAAATTGAGCAATGTGTAAGGCAGCATGCTTCCTACCGTAATGGAGGTTAGTCTGTCAGGGGAGGTTGTTTGTAACAAATAACTACAGAATGTTATATAGACAATGAAAACTGATTAACAAATAGGGTTCTAGATGAAAGGAGAAAGGGACAGAGACCAGTATGTAAGAGTCTTCTGAGAGATGTTTAGAGCAGCCAGTAGTTTTCAAAGGAAACACTCATCTAAAGTGGCACCAATTTTCATTCAGTGAAAATTAAATAGATAACTGTTTTATTTCCAAACTGAAAAATAAACTGAGATTTTGTTTTAAACATAAGATAGTAATCTTTGGGTCAAAGATATATTTATGACAAAGTAAGATTTGGTTGAAAATACACATCAAATGCAATTTAAGTGTTCTAGAAACACTCTTAAAGGATATTCTTTGTTGGCTGTAACTTTTGGTTAAAGTGCATTGAGATTATGTCCTCATGGTTAGACAACCCCTGCCATTGACATATCACATGGTTAATAAGTCATTAGATGGTAAATGAGGGAAATGTGGCCTGGAGAGGTCCACATATAGTCACCAGATAGCGGGAAAATTAGAAGCAGGCCCTGTTTTACAATTGCATTTTCCTGAAATTGCATCCATTAGCAGCAGTATCCATAACTAATGAACACTGGACTGCATTGACAATGTCATTCATTTTATAAATATTGAAATATACAGATTGAGACCTAAATGCTGTAAGTTCCACAAAGAGTAGAAGAAAACACAGTATTTTGCTCCCAAGTTGTTTAGAGTCTACTCATTCAAGCCCTTTCATTGGAGGATCACTTGGTTACCCAACAGGGAAAAGAAATTACATATAACCATATCAGATTTATGGGCTGTTGTTTTTTTAATTCAGTTGACAAATGTGTAATGGACATTCTTAAAATGCTTGCCAGGGCTCTCAATTTGTGGAATAAGTCAATACGCAATGACAGATTCATGGCATGTGGATGGTGGCTTTTGAGAAGTGGGAGAAAGACACTGAATTGCAAATACAAAGCAATGTCAGAGGATAAGTGAAGTGGAGAAAAGTGGAAGAAAATTAAGAGCATAGTGACTATGTTAGGGGCCCGGGTAGAAGTGAACAGGGAAGATTTCTTGTGTAGCTGTCAACAGATACCTGAGTAGGAGGGTTCCAGTCACAGAAACACTCAAGGTCAGAATGTTCTAGACTTAAGGAAGAGCAAGCATGCAGGGAGAACTGGCTCATTAATCTGTGGTTTCCTTTCTCCAACACAAGATGCAGTTATCAAGAGTGATCTCTAACTTGTATACTCATAGCTACTGTGTTCTCTCTGCCACTTAAGCTCTTCCTCACTGGTTCATTCACGTCTCTAGAGTACTGTTTAATAGACGACAGCTCTAGTCCCATGTTAGAAAGATGACAATAGTACCTGAAAATTATGAGTTTGTCTGATACTAAATTTGCTTTTAATAATTTCCCCAAATGACTCCCTCAGTGTTGACAGGAGCTTTTTCGCAAGGGCCTACATTATCGTTGAAATAGAAAGACTAGGAAAAGTTTGGGAAAAAATAAGTTGAAGTAGCATGCTTTCATAGGAAAATGTGTCCTTAGGCCTCATCAAAACTGCAAACAAAAGTAAGTTATTTACTTGTTTTGACTCTGACCCAGGGCCTTGTGCTTGCTAGGAAAACACTGTCACTGAGCTAAAAACAAAAATCCCCGTTTTCAATCGTACAGGTTATTGCTGAACGAGCCAATGAAATGAAGGCAGAAGACTGTTCAGGCGCTGACAGGGGCCCTGTCCCTTCCAAAAACAAACGCAAGGCTTTCCTTGACTTGCTTCTAAGTGTGACTGATGAAGAAGAAAACAGGTTAAGTCCTGAAGATATTCGAGAAGAAGTTGACACCTTCATGTTTGAGGTAATTTGTGTTGCCAGGGCTGGCACAAAAGCACAATTCTCATCTCAAATAGGATAATAGATAGCTTATTCTAGAGCCAAATGAGTGACCATGTTCCAGGAATACAGATTTAGTCACCACAAATCCATGTTCCAGCCTGGAAGCAATTTCATGAAGTTTTTATAGTAACAGAACAAAGAAAGTTATAAGTTAAGGCACTTTTCAGATGCATTGGTGCAAACATCAAGTACAGAGTTACAACAAAACAGAAACCTCAGCTATACACCTCAGATACTGTCTGGTGACACTCAGCCTTTTGATTGGTGGAAGCTAAGATTTTGTTAAGTCAATACATTACAAACGTTTTTTTATCTGTTAGTTCTAGGATGTTAGGTCAGACACAGAGTTGGTCAGGAATGGCTATTTAAGGGCTAAAGACAGCCTAAGATAAATTGTAATTGGGCTCTAGACCTGCAACATTACAAAATTTCCACAATCATTGGAGTTCTAATCAGTTGACCAACTTTGCAGGAGGTTCAATTTGAAGATGCAAGTTTTGTTCTGGAAACTTACATTCACACCAGGTTACTTTCAGTATCCTTAGCAAATTCCATTGTTAAGGATGTAGGTGAGTGGTAGAGTACCTGCTTAGCTGCACAAGTATCTGGGTTTCATCCTCAGCACTGCAAAAACAAACAAGCAAAACAACAGCAACATAATAGGACCTGAAAGTTGGCTCAGGGGGGAAGAGTGCCATGCCTGGGGACTTGAGTTAGGTTCAAGGAACCCCCATGGTGGTAGAAGGAGAGAACTGACTCTGACAAGTGGCAGTTGTCCTCTAACTTCCACATGTATACCATGCCATTTGTACACACACATAAAATAGATAAATTGAATTAAAGATATCCCCAAATTCCAATACCTTTTAGAATCTTTAGCATAAACTTGCAAAAATAATGAAGACACTCCCAGGCCTAGCTGGGGCAGCACAGTCTGAGCAGCAGTCAAAAGCCCAGTGAGTTCCCCAGGTCCCAGCCTTCCCCCTCTCTCCCCACCACCCCACACTCACAGGTATAGATCTCCTAAGTATCTGCCTGCCATCCCAGCTCCCCAACACTATGGAACCCAAGGGAGTCTGTGGCCACAAGACCAAATGTCAAGCACCATTTAGCTGGTCCACAACCTGACAACTTGGGGTAACAGCAAACAAAGATTCAAGCACCCACTCAACGAAGGTGAGATCAGATATCCATACCAAGAAACACCACCAAAGACAAAATTCCAGATGCTTAGGGTCCCATTGCCAAAGCAGACAACATAAATAATCAAGACAGTATGTTTTTTTCCAGAAATTAGCATACTAGTACATCATATTGTTTCCTGGGAAAAACAACTTAGTTGATGCACAAGATAATTTCAAAATAGTAATTATAAATATGTTTAAGGAACTCCAAGGGGATATGGAAAAAAGACTGAATAAAATCATGAAAAATTAATCAAATGCTATAGTAAGTTAGTATAACTGGAAAAATCTTAATATTATCAGAAATTATAAAGTTTGAGAATTTCTAGTTTGATTTCCCTCTTTAGAAAAAAGATTTTGGCCAGGCTTAGATAACAGCAGTAGACATATTTTTCTCTTATGAAAATCTAAGGTTCACTAGACTTTTCCCAAGTCATGCTGCCAAAACTTGTTCTCGGTTCTCCCTATTGCTTCACGCTTCCTTTTAACCTCCCAAACCCCAAGTCCATTTCAGTCTTTTTCACTCCTAAGTCTGGTGCTTAGCTACTGCTAGGAGATGCTCTAACTAAGGAGTGCTACGGAGAGTGCAGTTAGTTTGTGATTCTAATGGGATTTCAATAGTTTTAAAAATACTAGCAAATATACTTTAACATTATATTGATACTGCAAAGAGTAGAGCTTTCTGGATGTGGCTTGCAAAATAAAGGTTTCAGAAAGCCCTATGATGTAGGAACATGGGGAATGTGAAATGCAAGCGAGTTTTCAGCAATTCAGTGTGTGCTGAGCGTTGTGTTGGCTGCCTGCCTCCAGCTGTCTGGGTGCACTGCAGTGTTCCTATCTTCTTTTAAAATTTGTGTTTCATTTTTAACAGGTGACTTGGAGTACAATGGGATGTTTTGCTGCATGTACATATTGGGGGATGAGCAAATCAGATTAACTAATATGTTCATCACCTTCATGTATTTCTGTTTTCTAAGTGAGAACTTGTGAATTTACTTTTAGCAATTTTGGACTATATAGTATATTCTAATTAACTATAGTCACTAAACTGTGCTACAGATCCCAGGAGCTGAAATTTTGTGGTCTTTGAACATCTCTCCTTTGACTCCGTACCTTCTCCTCTCCCCAGCTACCCTCCGGTAACCACCATGCCACTCTTTATGTCTCAAAATTCAACTTCCCCAGCCACTTTCTGCACTCTCAACATCTATGCGTTAAATTCTTTTAGTTTCTGCATCCTGCTGAGATCATGTAGTATTTTTGTCTCATTTCTCACAGTATCTTCCAAATATACCCGTTATTACAAATAACAGAAGTTCCTAGCTTTATAAGAGACTATATAATATTTCATTATGTATATCCTACAATTTTTAAAAAATGACCATAAAATAAAAAAAATACAAAACAACAACAACACAAAGCTGGTCACCTGCTGATGGGCATGTCAGTTGTGCAAGTCACAGATTCAATGCAGTTCTCATCAAGGTTTCAATGGTTGTTTTTTGAGAAGAGGAAAACTAATCATAGAATTCATGTGAAACCACAAAACACACTGAGGGCCAAAGTGATCTTGAGCAAAGAAGAATAAAGGCATCATATTGCCTCATTTCAAAATACACCACAAAGCTATGGTACTCAGACAAAGTGGTTGTGGCAAGAATACACAATGGGGAGTCTTCAATAAATCGTGCTTGGAAAGTATAAACAGTCACATGCAGAAGGATAAAATTGGGCCCTTATCTCACTACTTACACAAAAATCAACTCAAAATGAATTAAAGATGTTAAGACTTGAAACTGTAAAATTAGTGAAAATGGTATTGCATCATCCATTCTCTGCAGAGTAAGGCTCTGTGACACTCTAGAGCGAGAGTCTGAGACCTGAGTCTCCTTCCTGGTCTGTGCTGTATAATCAAATGAACACCTCCAATCTTTCCAGCTCTCACTGTTAAAGAGAGATGTGGACCGAATCATTGGTTTTAGTTTTCCTTTTTTGGGCTAGGGACAGGGTAGCCCAGTAGATTACTTGCTGTGTGTGTGTGTGTGTGTGTGTGTGTGTGTGTATCTGGGTTCAATCTCTGATCAAACAACTATCTTAAGCAACCTTTGAAATAGAACACATCTGAAAAAAATCTTAAGAAAAAAAAAGTAAACATCTGAATTAGCTAAAAGGTAGAGAAGTGTTAAGTGTGTGGGTTCTGGGGCAAAATCCTAGATCTACTGCATTCTAGAATCGTGGCCTCAAGCCTTTCACTTAGCCTTTCTGGCCCATTAGGTTCTGGTACTTTTTTCCCTTTTGGTGATAGGGGTTGAACCCAGGGCCTTGTGCATACTTAACAAGTGGTCTCCACTGAGGTGCACCACTGGCCCTGTATTCTTATTTTACTCACACAGGCTTTGTGGAATAGCTATGATGATTAGATTTTTTTTTTTTAAGTACATAGAGAATCATGACGGGTACAGAGGAGGAATACAACAAATATAAGACATTATTTCACATTGCTGTACCAAGATCTTATATCTGGGGATAAGAGTTTGCCTATGCTTTTACATTTTACCCATGCTCTTACACAGCCACACACACACACATACATACTCATACTACACAATAACCACATGCACATGAGTATATGTATACATGCACAATTCACACATCTAGTTCCAATCAATAACCATTCTTCCCCTTTAGTAAAAACAACCAAACTAATCTTTTTCTCAAGGCTCTAACATTCTTTCTTTGAAATTTTGATGCTGGTCTTCTTTGCATTGAGTTGGAGGTTGTGCTAGATAGATTCAGCTGTCAACTTGACACACCTGGGAAGAGGGAACCTCAACTGGGGAATTTCCTCTATCATAATGGCCTGTGGGCCATGTCTCTGAGGCAGTTTTTTGATTATTGAATGATGTGAGAGGGTGCAGGCCAGTGTGGGTGGAGCCACCCCCAGGCAGGTAGTCCTGGGCTGTATAAGAAATGTAGCTGAGCACGGGCCAGGTGAACAAGCAAGGAAGCAACCTTCCTCCATGGTCTGTTTAACTCCTTCCTCCAGGTTCCTGCTCTGGCTTCTCTTCATGGTGAACTGTGATGGGACATATAAAGCAAACAAATCCTTTCCTCCCCAAATTGGTTTTGATTAGAATGCTTTATCACTGCAATAGAAATCTAGCTAGAGCAGAAGTCTACCATGTACAGCCATAATACTGTGCATTCTCTGTGAACTGGATGCAGATGGTTAACAGCAGTCCTTTGATGCCCCAGGCTTCAGCCATTAGAGTGTTAAGGCTGTGACCCCTCCCTCTCCCACCAATGGGCTTTTGTAAATTCTGCTTTATGTCTTTCTCCCAACAAAGGAAACTCAGACTTCTACACATTTGGGTCAGACTTACACTCATAAATTCAAGAAAAGTTATTATGCTATTTAGCAAGACAAATGCTTCCTTACTTTCTAGGAAACAGAGCCAAAAAGAACTAGATCATGTCTGAAGTTCAGAGTAGCTTCCATAAAGGAATTACAAGTATAAGCAAATGAGATATTAGTGCTACAGACTTGTAGACTACATTTTTTAAAAATTATTTTTATTGAATTTTTGTAATTTTCACAATTTGATAATTTAGGTACCCATATATATTTATATACATTGTAAATATATAATAGGGCCTATAGAGACTAATTTGTGTCTCCAACCAAATATCCTTCATTGTGGGTCCATCCACTAGAGCCTGGTTAACCTACCAAGAGTTGCATTCTTGAAAGAGGCTGTCTCTGCTCCTCCCAGCAGTCATCTGTTGCTACGGTTTCCTTAGGAAGGGTTGGGCGTCTTACCCACTTTCTCATGCCTATGCTGGGATTTTTCTGGTTTGAGCTTTCATGGGACTTGTGTATGCTGTTGCCATTACTGTGAGTTCATATGAGTAACTGAGCAGCTGTCTGGAAAACTGTTTCCTTGGGGTCATCCACCACCTCTGACTCTTACAATCTTTCTGCTCTCTCTTCCATAATGATCTCTGAGCCTTGGGAGGCAGAAGCTTGATATAGTTGTTCTATTCAGGGATAAGCACTGCAGCTTCTTGTTTTCCGCACTTGGGCCAGATGTGGGTTTCTGTGTTAATCATTATCTGTTGTATTAGGAAATTTCTCTGGTGATAGTTGTCAGATGCATTAATCTCTAGGTATAAAATAAGTCATTAAGAGTCATTTTCATATAATAACTATTTAGTAAAAATTTAGTATTAGGTTCTCTTTTATGTCCTGTGATCTGACTAGCCTCAGGCTCCTAAGCCTGATAGCAATGCCAGATATGGACTCCATCCTAGGAAGTGGACCTTAAATTAATTAAAGAGTAGTTAGTTATTCACATACTATTTGTACCACTATTGCACCAGAGGGAATATCCTGCCAGATCAGTTGTTATTATAGTTCACAGGATTCCCAGCTGGGTAAGGTTGATGATTATTTTTCCCTTCCAGTAGGTCGCATACATAGTATCCTCCAGCACTATGAATACTAGCCAGTAGAGATGAGGTTCTGAAGTCAGCACTATCTTGATTTCTCCTTGTTTGTTCTACATCTCATATATGTAGTATCTTCCACAATAGGGTCTTACCATCCAGTTCTGTTGGGTAACCAAGAGCAAAGGCATTGGCCAATGTTGTTTGAGGGTCTATGGAACCCCTGGTCAACAGCTTCTTTCCTAGCATTGAAGGTTTTTATTTGTTCTTTTTTTTTCCCCCCATTAGCCTATGATTCTAGAAAGGGAAATTTCTCCCTGTTATAGGATAACTCCTTTTAATCTCTTTTTATGAAGTATATGTATATACTTTAAGAAGCTTCTATAGTGGTTGATTTCCATGTGGCTTTTTCTAAATGCTTTTAGATTTACTTATTCTTCCCCATACTCCCTTCTCTGCTCTGCCCTCCCATTCCCCACCCAATTTAACCCTTCCTAGTCCAATGTTCCCCTTCTCCTTTCATATCACTGCATCCTACCACCCTTCCCAAGAAGCCTCCCCCTTTCCCACACACCCATGAACATTCATTAATTTCATCACCTCTCTGAATTTTCAAATTGAAACATACATATCTAAGATTTCAAAGCTAACATCCAGCTATGAGAGGTAACATGTGACATTTGTCTTTCTGCAGGCTACATATTTTATTTTATTTTTTAACTTTAAAAATAGTGTATTGAGAATTTCATACATGCATATAATATGTTTCGATCCCTCCAACTCCTCCCATATCACCCTGTCACTTTTTTTCTGATAACTTCATGTACTCTTTCTTTTGGTGGGGAGAGCTTTTTCTACTCTAACATTACCCCTCTGAAAAGGTCACCCTAAAATCTTTTAGGGGTTAGATAAGAGCTCCCAAATACTTTTGACATTTTTGGCCTTTAGAACAGAATGTGTTGCTAAAAGGCCAAAGGACATTTTGACTTTTAGCTAAGAAACTGGCTATTTTTCTTTGGGGTCTTTTTACCCTAACTGCCTAGCCAATTCCTACCTCCTATGTTTATCACACCATTCTCTGAAGAGGTTGCCCATATTGCTCATAGGCAATTGGGACACAGACTGCTCTGGCTTCTTCCATGTTGAACAGGGAGGGACACAGGGTGAGGCAATTGGGATACCCCTTCAGTGGGTCTATTTAAAACACTCCCAAATTGCATAACTCTTACCTGTAGGGAGAAAAGAAAGTCCTTGACTGGTGCCTAGGAGATGTGAAGAAGTAAAGGCCAGAGTAGTTAGCATTATAAGTTCTAGACAGGGAACCAGAAAAAAGTCAGAACAGGACAGATTTCAAATGTTCTTATCAGAGTCCATTGGAATTTCTTGACTAGAGCTTCCCAAAGCATCCCTCTATTGGGTTCCTCCTCATTTTTCTTTTGTCTGTCAAGATTGGACTCGAGACTGATGGACTCAGGATTTGTTTTCAGGCATTTTGATAGCTGTTGGTGTCGGAAGTTCCGACACGTGGGGAGGGAAAAAGAGAGATCCTCGGAGCCAGCCGATAATCTGTTTTTCCCCTTGGGGCTGAGCGGGATGGTGAGAGCCCGGCTCAAAAGGAGCACACAGAGCCAGGTGCCGAGTCAGAGCAGGAACACGCTTTATTGCAGCAGGCACAGGTATTTAAAGGCAAAATCTCATGGCGGGAAGTTTGAGCCATGAGTGACAGTTGCTTCTGGTGTCTGGGACCTATGGGCTGAGGGGCCACTCCCTCTGTACGCCAGGAATGAGGCAGGATGGTGAGAGCCCGGCTCAAAAGGAGCACACAGAGCCAGGTGCCGAGTCAGAGCAGGAACACGCTTTATTGCAGCAGGCACAGGTATTTAAAGGCAAAATCTCATGGCGGGAAGTTTGAGCCATGAGTGACAGTTGCTTCTGGTGTCTGGGACCTATGGGCTGAGGGGCCACTCCCTCTGTACGCCAGGAATGAGGCAGGGCCAGGTGGAGCCAATCCTATGCTGGCGCTGAGTTTTCCCATCCCTCCCCCTTTACCTGTGCCGGGAGCCATCTTGGCGAGAATCGAAAGTGACCGGACATGTGGGCCGACTCTAGGTCAGGCTGCGGAAGTGCTCCAGAACTCATAGGCCCAGGGTGTGGCTGCACTCAGGCAGCCCCGACATCTCCCCCTCTTGTTTTTATATCCCTAATGTCTGGGAATTGTAATCCCTGAACTCTTTTTTTTTTAATTATTATTTTTATTTTATGTGTATGTGTATATTGCCTGCATGTAGGTAAGTGCACTCATGTTGTGCAATGCCTGAAGAGGACAGAAGAGGGCATTGGATCCCCTGGAACTGGAGATTGTGGCAGCTGTTAGCCTCCATGAGGATGCTGGGATTTGAACCCAGGTCTTCTGCAAGAACAGTCAAGTGTTCTTAACTGCTGAGCCATCTCTCCAGCCCCAATCCCCTGAACTCTTAAAAGATATACTGATCACTTTAATCTTTAGTTATACTTTCCTTTTGGGTTTAAGTCCATAGAGTTGGCCCAAATAAACCAATTTATTTTTACCCTTAAGGTCGTTTGAGGATCTTTTCCTCAGGGGTCACATGGGCTTGGGAGGAGCCTCTGGCTCCATTTTAAAAATTGCCAAACAATTCAATTTAGCAGGTGCTTTATAAAACAAGAACTTTGGTGATTTCTGCCTAAAGAATGAAATATTATAATGAGCACATATAAAGGGAAAATGGAAAAAGAATTATTCTATAGAAAAGATAGCTTTTCTCCCCTTTTGTCCTAAAAGTCCCATTCCTTAAGTTACAATTACTGACATATATTTTTTCAATGAAACATTCATTACTTGTGTGTGTCTGGAAACACCCAGGGTGATGAGGCGAGAAGACAAGAGGCCAAAGCCTAAAGCTCTGAGGGGTGGAGCCTGAGGCTGTCCAAGACTTTACTTGACTCCTTGCCACAGATCACGCCCCAGTTTTACTGGGGAAGACTGTGGGTCCTTTATAATCAGGCCTTCTAGGGTCTGTGCTTATTTTCACCTCTTTAGGGGAGTTACTTAATATTTTTTAATCTTTAAAATATGAATCATAGTAATAAGTTTGAAAATTAGTTTTATTCATTTCTACAAAATACTTAGCATGTTGCCTAAAACTTGTCAAGTACTAAATTGGTTATTAGTTAATTCCCTGAGGGGAAAAGACATGCTCAGGAACCCCCACCCTCACACACACCTTCTCAGGTATTCAGCACCAACAAGGGAAGCCTACCTTACTTGGGGGAGAATGGAGAAGTACAGAGCACAAAGCTTGGCATAGGATAGTGAGGAATTTGTTCTTATTGAAAAGGATGGCCCTGTCACTAATCCAACCTGTTGCTTCAAGGTGCGCAGCACTCCAAAGACCTCTATGTATGACCTCTGCTGTTAAAGGATTGTGTGTGTGTGTCCGGGAGGGGGGTTCTTTTGTTTTGTTTTGAGAAAGGGTTGGCCTTTAGCTTAGTATGTAGTTCAGATGGCATCAAACTTGGAGCAGTCCTCCTGCCTCAGCCTCCTCCCAAGTGCTGAGGTTATAGGCGTGTGCCACCCCCGACCCCAGCAAAGAGACTGTTGAATATGTTTGTTTTTCACCAAGATGAGGAGCTGCCCTAAAGTGTTCCTGTATTACAGATACATTGCAGCTGGCAGAGAGGAGCTAATCCAACAATGTGGTCATGACTAATCTCAACAGAACTCTGCTTTATCACTTTTGTTTCCTTTATAGGGTCATGATACAACTGCAGCTGCAATAAACTGGTCCTTATATCTATTGGGTTCATATCCAGAAGTCCAGAAAAAAGTAGACAATGAACTGGATGAAGTGTTCGGTATGTTTGACCCTTTGACTAGGAGATGCTGAGGGTCCCCCTAACAGAGCTCATTTCTGTTCACTAAGGATGCCACTGTCATAAACAGGAAGGCCCCTCAATATGGCCTCTTCCTGCACCTGTCTTCTGGAAAAGGACTAGTGCATTTGCTTGCAGGCGTGTGACTGTCCTGGACTAGAAGCTGGGATGAGTGAGTCAATGAGATTGTCTTCAAGGGTTCAAGGGTGTCATATACAAAACAGACAGGTACCTGGCTTTGAGTCATGGGCTGTGTCTTTGAGTGACATGAAGAAGCTGCTGTGTGGGAGCACAGGGCATAGATGGAGCTACTTCTGAGGGTGAAAGGAAAGCTGTCTCATATGACTGAATCTGACCCTAAGTGAGAGCAGAGATGGTGATGCTGCTAGGGATCCTTTCTTTTAAACAAGCACTGTGGAGTAGTCCTCAGCTGACACCAGGAGGGCTGTCCCAGAGCCCCAGACACATTCTTTCTCTCTCTCTCTCTCTCTCTCTCTCTCTCTCTCTCTCTCTCTCTCTCTCTGTCATCTTTATCCTGTCAGGTTTTGTCTCCTTGATTGATGTTCATCATGCTTATCTTCAGGGTGAGAAGGAAAGGGGGCTATGGGGGTAAAGAATGTGTTTCCTATGCTTATAATTGGAATGCTAAATATATTCTTTCATGGTTCTAGAACCTGGAAGTCAAAATCTGTATTTCTGAGCCAAGATCAGCTGCATTTTCAGAAAAGTCCATTCCTTTTCTTTTAAACATCTTCCAGCTGCCAGCATTCCTTGGCGGATGGGCACATCACTTAGATCTCTACCTGTGTCTTCACATTGTTGCTTCTTTATGTGTATGTGGGGTGGGGGGAAGGATAGGTGTATATCTCTCTTATATGAATAATTGTAATAGCATTTAAGGATCACCCAGATAAACCAGAGTAATCTCCAAATTTTAATATCCTTAATGTAATTACATTGTGAAGATCAAGTTTTCTAAAATAAGGCTCCAAGCTACAGAATCTGACATTTTAGGAACCCATAATCAGTCTACCACAAGAGGAAGTGATCAGTGTTGCTTCTTTAAAAGCATGGGTCACATGACTCTCCATAGTTGGAAAGAGAAAAGAAAAAGTTTAGCTTGGCCAGTGAGCAGTATGGTATCCTGGGAAGTTTCATGAAGAAAGAAGTCGAGAAAGAAAAATAAAGACAAAAAGTTGGAAGGGAAGAGAATTCTGGAAATAAAGGAACCAAATGAAGAGTGGAGACAAGTGGAATTTTCTGGTTTGGAGGACAATGGTGGCTAATGAAAGACAGAACTGGGAATATCTAGTAGAAAACAGAATTGACAGATGAGGATAGAAGGCAGGTTTGCACCCAGCTCCTCAGAGGAATAGGGTTTCATAGCCAGGAGGCAAGACCTCACCTCTCAGAGTGGGGCCCTTTGCTCCATTTCTACAGCCTGCTCACTGCCTTCACACTGACTTCAGCTTCTCTTCGAATGCTTTGGTGGGTGAATTTGCCCACTGAGAGCTGGTAAGTTCTTTCAGAATAGGTTCATGTTCTTAGTACCCTCTATGATTTTACCTTACTGCTGGTTTCAAAAGGCTTCCAAATCACACATGCTTAGCATCACCATCACGGTTGAATCCTGGTGCTTCTCCCGTGCTCCCTTTCAGTGCAACAGCGACCCTCACATTTTTGAGCTACTAATCTTTGTGTTCTAAGTCAAGTATCAGCATCTTTTGTCACTGCGTTTCTGAAATTGGGGCAAGCATCACAGAACATAGAATTAAAAGTTTTGTTAATGAAATGTACAATTCATTGGCCCTTAGTGTATTCATGATGCACAATTGTCATTTCTACCTTCTCTAATATATTTTCAGCACCCCCAAAGGAATCAGGAACTGTTAAACAGTCACTCATCTCTCGTTCCCTTCTCCCCACAATTACCATCTTACTGTCTGTCTCTACAAATGAAATTATATACTATGTCACCTTTGTCTTTTTTTAAAAATTATTTTATTTATCAATTTTATTTTTGCGTATGAGTGTATTGCCTGCACGTATGTAAGTGCACCCATGTCATGCAATGCCGTGTAAGTGCACCCATGTCATGCAATGCCTGGAGGTCAGAAGAGGGCATCAGACCACCTGGAACTGGAGTTACAGACAGTTGTTAGCTGCCATGTGGGTGCTGGGAACCAACCCAGGTCTTCTGCAAGAGCAGTCAGTGCTCTTAACCACTGAGCCATCTCTCTAGGCTCATCATCTTTGCCTTTTAAATGTGGTTTCATTCACTGTATTAAAATCTGGACATTGTCTTGGCTCATATGGTTTCTTTCACTTTCATTTTATATATTTACTTTAATCAGGAAAGTCCCATCGCCCTGCCACCTTGGAAGACCTGAAGAAACTGAAATATCTGGACTGTGTCATTAAGGAGACACTTCGCCTTTTTCCTTCAGTGCCTTTATTTGCCCGGAGTCTCAGTGAAGATTGTGAAGTTGGTGAGCATCCTTCAGTGAGAGAACGGGGAGGCTGACTGTTGTTTCTCATGTCTGCCTTGCTCCAGTCTCCTGACATGTTGCTCCCTCTTGGCAGCGGGTTACAGAGTGTCCAAAGGCACAGAAGCTGTCATCATTCCCTATGCATTGCACCGAGACCCCAGGTACTTCCCAGACCCTGAGGAATTCCAGCCGGAACGGTTCTTTCCTGAGAATGCCCAAGGACGCCATCCGTACGCCTATGTGCCCTTCTCTGCTGGACCCAGAAACTGCATAGGTTTGTATGCATGCAAGTGGGTTGGACCCTTCAGGTCCGTTTGACAGATTCATCACAAGGATTTCTTTGAGAAATGATGTGACATTACTCACATGCAATACCTTTAAAAAAGGTTTCTGTTTTCCTTCACATTATATGATAGTTTTAAAATGTTATTGGGAGGGGCTGAAGAGATAGCTCAGTTGGTACTATGCATGAGGTCCCAAGTTTCATTCCTAGAACCCATGTAAAACTGGGCACTGTAGTGTGCACCTATAACCCCAGTGCTGGAGAGGCAGAAACAGATGGATCTCGACAGTAAGAAAGTACTGCAGATTAAGTGGTTTAAATAATGGACATTAATTTATTCACAGTTCAGCAGACTGGTCTTTCAGTGGAGTTGTTTTCTGAGGTCTCTCTCTCATTCTCTCTCTTTCACTTATAAATGTCAGTCTTCTGTTTGTGTAATTGTTATCAATTATCTCTCTCTCGGGTCATATTAGGAATTACCCTAATGTCCTCATTTAACTTAGTTAAATTTAACCCCTTAATGTCAGTTTTTAAAATTTAAAGGTCCTATGTCTAAATCAATTCGTAGTGGTTGTTTGAATCCATAGATATGAGACCTATAGATTCAGAGGGCCCATTAACTGCTGAAGTCAAGGTTGCTTGACCACCACAGTTAATCAGACTCACATGGGATCACACTGAACACTACAGAATCGTTCACTGTAGTGCCTTGGGGGATTTTGATTCTTCTCTGGCCTATGGGAAAATATATTGAATGACTTATTTCTGCAATGCAGCTTCTTATTTCTCACTTTTGACATGCTTCTATAATCAGAGTGGTGATATTTACATTCACTTGAAGGTCAGAAGTTTGCTGTGATGGAGGAAAAGACTATTCTTGCCTGTGTCTTGAGGCATTTTTGGGTAGAATCCAAGCAGAAGAGAGAAGAACTTGCCCTGTCAGGAGATTTGATTCTTCGGCCAAATAATGGCATCTGGATCAAGTTGAAGAGGAGACATGCAAATGAATCCTAACTTCATCTTCAGACTGTGCCCTCATCATGAAGCTTACCCCGTAAGAAGCATGGTGTTTACAATTTGTAGATCCTAAGTTGGATAGTCTGAATCCCCAGACCTAACATTTTTCTTATATACACTGATCCTGGGATCCAGGCCATCCTGGAGAGTTTTAGTCATAGATGCCGTGTTGCACCTGCACCATGGTCTGGAACGTACTGTTATTTGAGCCAATGCCAACATACACATATAACAAAGGTTCTAACAGAGGGAACCTTGGGCCTGTTAAATTTCATTTAACAGATTCAAAAGAGATCCTTCAATTGAGACATCAGAATTAAGAAAATATTTTTGTTGACTTGGAGATATGTATCATAGCATTTAAAACTGTTGAGTAATTAAGTCTTTTGATATAATGGGCTTAAATTTTCAAGTTTTATTAGTGTCATCAATTATGAAAATAGTAATTGCTATAGCACCTTTAGATTTTATAATGAAAATCAGGTCCCTTACACACGAGACTGAGGTTCTGATCCAGTCTCCTTTGGACTGTGTACTTAAGAGTCTTCTGTGCATTCTTTGTAGAGTCACAGTCACCTTTATGTACAATATGTTATTTGGAAGAGATACCACTTAGTAATTTCCAAGCTCTCACAGTGCTCATATGGTGAATTAATGGGTTTGGAACTGGAGGAGCCATAGAACTGATCTGCTTAATACCCCCTTCTATTACGAGAAGAGGGATTCAATCAAGAGCACAGCTACTCTTTGGGGCACCACGGGAGTAGATAAGGAACCTCTCCATTCCCATTATGATATACGTCCTCATACAATATGCTTCGGCTCTATGGAACTCAGGACTATGACTGAATGTGTTAGAACTCAGGACTCCTGCCCATGGTACAGACATGTTGCTTTGAAATTCTTCCGCCTTTAGGTGAAAAAAGAAGCTGCTCTATATTTTGTGTGTAGTGATATCCCACTTGGTATAGGTCCAGAGATCTAATTAATTCAGCCCCATAGAACATACCTACCAACCTGATAACTGATATGCATTCTTTGAATTTTAATTTGGTACATAATACCACCATTCCTTGTACAATGACTTTCAGAAATTAACTTTAATAAATAATTTTAACAAGATTGCTTATGTGGTTTGTTTTGTTTTCTGTTTTCGGTGGCCTCGCAGATAGAATCAAGAAGTGGAGAAAGTGGAACATACATCATTCACGAGCACTTATGAAAAACACAAAGCCATTTGATAAAGCACTACAACTTGGGTCATTTAGGGCAGTATTACCAAATAAACCTACTCGACTGTCCATAGAGCCCCAGTGTACATGTCCCCAGCCCTAAGGTGATAAGAAAAAGACAAGGAGGCGATATACACTGCAAAAGAGTCCCATGAAGTGGTTAACCCTGTTATCTAGAAATTGGGAGTAGGTAGAAAGTCTCATCCGAAAATGATTTTGGTGTCGTTTATGTGATTTCACTCGTAGAAATCAGGGTTCTCTCAATCTATGCCTTATATTTAAGCTGTGCTTTTTAAAATATTTTTAAAACTATTATTGTGTGTGTGGGTACGTGTGTATATATATGTGTGTAAATGTATGTGTGTGCAGGCACATACGTGTCACAGTGCATTCTGCTTTCTCAGTGTTGAGAAAGCTTACTGGCCCATACAAGGTGAAGCAGAATTAGTCCCTTGGGTTTTACCAGCTGGAATTGAAGAAAAGAAATGGTTGATCTCCTTCAAAGGAAACTTCAGTTACTGAGACGTGGGATTGAGTCAGTGATTGAACCTCTGGAGCAGCTGCTGGGAGATGGAATGAAGGGATGAATAGAGAAGATGCAGAGAGAAGACAGAAGAGGAGGGGGATCCTGGAGGGCCCAAGGCCCAGGCTCCAGATAATGCTGGACTCCTGCTGCCCACTGCTCAGTTGCATACCCCAACCTTGGAAGCAAAGTGCCAGTGCAGTTTGCTTAAGTACTTTATCTCTCATCCATAGCCTCAGGCAGCTATTTGCTTGTCAGCTCAGCTGCAGGGTGAAGAGCTGAGCCTCATTCTTTGGGCATCATCTTGAGTCTCTTAGAATTTCCTAGTTCCCTTCTAGGTTGGATCACTAATACTAATTAGGCTAGCTATTTAAGTTCAGTAGTATTTGATAGTATGCAGAAATACATCCTAGAAAACTTGAAAGTATACTATATTTCTCAGATCTTTTTTGGAATATAGGTAATTTGGGCCTAATACAAAAATCTGGTTATATTCTCCAGACTGCTCCTTTTCTGTTTTGTTTTGTTTTTTACTTTTCTAATTAACCTGGGTTGAGTCTAGCTTTTCTTCTGGTTAACTACATTCTAAATTTTAGGGACAATGTTCTCTTCTGTAATTATTAAAATGGGCTTCCCCCTAAATCTCTTGTCCAGAAAGTCAACCAAGTGGTTATTTGGACTTTTAGGGCCAAATTCCACCTCCAGGACTCAGGTTGTGCTCATGAACCCACCTCCAGCCACATCTGAAGTTCAGGCCAGCCGTGTAGGCCTGAAGCCTTACCAGACAACATGAACACTCCAGGCCAATCCCTGCAGGCATGGCTCCTACAAACCCAGAGTCCAGGTCACTCCTTATACCCTGGCACTGTACCCTCAGGATGCCAGTCTTAGAAGACTACAGGCCCAGGATGACATTCACAGAATCTGGAGCCAAGTCGATCTACCTGGAATAAGTGTCAGATCCATTTCAGAGCTACATTGTCCCATAGATCAAGGTTCCAGGCCTGCCCCATGAATCAGATGATGTTGGTCAGAAAGTATAAAATCTCAGGCAAGATGAATGTTTTGGAGTTCTATTATACATTATAATAACTATGTCACTAATAATGTACTACTCCCTGAAAATTGATAAGAGAGTATATTTAAGTGCTCTCACCACAAAAACGATAAGCATGTAAAGGAGTAAATATGTTAACTAGTTTGATTTAATCACTTGACAATGGGTTCACTGATCATGAGTGTATACATAAAATTTACATAAATTAAAAAGCATTCCAATAGACTGACTAAACCTTAGTGGATGAGCTTGCATTGAGGAATGTCTGGGGACACTAACTTGACATGGTAGGCCTTAACACAAATGACAGAATGCATGAATTCCAGTGAGGGGGTTATGGGATGGTGCTAATGGGGAAGGGGGTATAATGATGATTAAGATTGATTAAGAAGTTCTGTACGAAATATACAAAAATTCAATAAAAATTTTACCAAAAAAAAAAAAGCATTCTGAAAAGTAGCATACAGCTATAATAAATAGTTCTAGCAACAGCAACAAGAACAAAGCACCCATCAGAGTTAGGGCCAAATGGCTATTGGTTAATACCATTTTTAGCTCATTTGAGATGAGCATCTTATCTTAGTGCACAGTATAAATGTGACTTGTGTGAATTGGATGGTCCACAACTATGGGTAAAATGACCATCTGTCCTTGGTCTGATTAGCTTATTCATGGGCTTATTTATTTATTATTTCCCTGTAATGCAGTAAACAACTGCAGTACCATTCAGGGTTCCAGGGGCGGGGGTAGGGGGGAGACAGCAAAGGGAAGTCCCAGTCTTAACAGCAAGATGTTAAAGATGGCCGGCAACTGAAAAACACTCTAGAATTGAGTGAAGAAATTAAATAATGGCTGGTAACAAGTGTTACAAAGGAAAATGAATACGGAGAAAGGAGTAAGGGGCATCTCCAACGCCTTTGGAGATTGGGAAGCAGAGGTCTGATTGAAGTGAGGGTTTAGATACCTGGAACAGTGGTACTTAGAAGGGAAGTGAGGAGGCTTTAAGGGTGGAGAATGTTGAGGGGAAGTTCTGGAGATGAACCCTCTTCTGGCCCACTCAGTCACTGGAAATATTTGGTTCCTGTGGGTGTAGGCTTGAGCCCCCATCTCCTTTCCAGTTGTTGGACAGAGACCCTTCTTAGGGTACCTCCATCTTCAGGTCAGCACCAGAAGTCTCCCTACTGTCCAATCTCTCATACTTTGAATCTTTTAAACGTTTCTTTTTAAGATCAGGAGAGGGCCAGTGAGATGGCTCAGCAGGTAAAGATGCTTGCTGCCAAGCCTGATGCCCTGAGTAACCTGAGTTTTATCGATCTCCAGTACCCACAGAGTGAAAGGAGAGCGAGCACTAAATCCTGCAAGTTTTCCTCTTTCACAAGCACACCATGGCTCTGCACACACACACACACACACACACACACACACACTTAAATAAATAAATGTAATAAAAAATTTTTAATTCATCAGGAAGCTCTGCTTTTAAAGGGCTACCGTGATGAGATTCAGCCCACCCAGATAATCTCTACCTTGATGAATTCACTATCAACTGAATAGTAATCTTTTTAAATTAAAAAAAAATTATTTTATGTGTATGAGTCTTACATCTGCATGAATGTAAGTGCACCTATGTTGTGAAGTGCTTGCAGAGGACAGAAAAGGGTATTGGATCCCCCAGAACTGGAGTTATGGACAGTTATTAGCCGGCATGTGGATGCTAGAATTTGATCCTAGGTCTTCTGAAAGAATAGCCAATGCTTTTAACTGCTGAGCCATCTCTCCAGCCCCAGTGAATAGTAATCTTAATTACATCTATGACATAGCCTTCAGAATGTACCATAATCACAACATGGGTGATGTCTTACAGTGTCTTCACAATACCCAGGATTAGAGTGAGAAATTTAGGAGGACATTGGAATTCTGCCCACCACTGTCTCTTATCTATGTAATTGATTTTGTTCATTTGAATCCACAAAGACAGTTTTAGTTTTTATTATATTGCTAGAATACAACTTCTATTTCACTTTTTTTTTTTAAAAAAAAAAAAAAAGGCTTCAGATTAAGCAGAAGTATCCTTATGGAGTTTTAAATCTTGGATCTCATCTTTGAGGCAAACAGCCTGAGAGTTTCCACTGTGCCCTGAAGTCAGGTGGGGTTTTTTGTTGTTGTTGTTGTTCCTGACGAGCCTGGTGGCAGAGGAGATCCCAAATTCAAATTCTTTTACACTTCATAGAGCAGAGGGTTTTTCTTTGTTGATTGCTGGTATGCCAGTTAATATCATGACTCAAAAAAGGAGGACAACATGTATATTTAAATATGCTGCTTCACGACAACCAAAAGATATTTATTGGCAACATTATCTTTCATTTCTAATAAATATAGTTCTGCATTGCAGCAATACATGTAAAATATTTATGAATCAACACTCTCTAAATCTCATTTATGAGTTACAATGATGTACTGTAATCTTACAGAAGAAAAAAAAAGCGGGAGTTTTTTGGCACGTGATTATGGTCCTTAAATTTTTTTTTTTTTTTTGAAAGAGAAGCTTTATTTGGCTTACATGTTCCTATCACAGTTCATCCTTAAGGAAAGCCAGGATACGAATTCAGGGAAGGAACCTGGACTCAGGAACTGAAGGTGAGACCATGGAGGAGCACTGTTTACTGGATTGCTTCTCTGGCCTGTTCACAGTCTGCTGCTTATACTACCCAGGACCACTGTCTCAGGGGTGGCAACACCCACAGTGGGCTGGACCCTCCCACATAACTCAATAATCAAGAAAATGTCTCACAATTATGTCCACAGGTCTATTGAATGGAAGAAATTCCCCAGTTGAGAGCCCCCTCTTTCCAGGTGTGTCAAGTTGACAGCTGAAACTACCTAGCACAAAGACCTATAGGGAAGAACTCTGGCGGTCATTAACAGCACTTCCTCCCAGCATGGACTCTGACTTCTTTGTGTGTTCTCAAGAGACCAATGATGAGAAATGTATAATTTATCTCCCCAAATTCAGGAATTGTACAAAGAAATTAATTCATAGGACCAGCCCCAAGATCATTTGGTTTCCAAATCTGAAAATTTTGTTCTTTATCATTCCAGATTCTATCCATCTAGCAAATCAGAGATGCTTCAATAAAAACAAATATTCATTTGATAGCTAGAACCTGACTTTAATTGCCAAATCTCCTTTCTTGAGACTAGAGAGATGGTGCGTTGGGGAAAGTACTTGCTCTGCAAGTATGAGGGCCTGAGTTTGGATCCCCAGAACCCACATAAAAAGGAGAGCATGGCAGCACCCATCTGTAACCTC